AAATTGATAAAAAAATGTAAAATTATAAAATTGTGAAAAAATATGGAATTTGTGAAATTGTGAAAAAATTTTGAGTTTATAAAATATTGTGAAATTGATGAAAAAATTTTGAATTGATGAAAAATTGTGAAATTGATGAAAAAATGTTGAAATGATGATAAGAATGTAAAATTATTGAACAAATGTGAACAAATGTTGGATTGATGAAAAATTGTGACATTGATGAAATAATTTAAATATTTTCAAATCGTTATAGAAGCCCTCTTCCTATTCAAACTCAATATTTTCAAATTAACGATTATATTATATTAAGACAAACAGCCAACCACTGATGTATTTCAATAATTTTTTTTTTTTTTTGTAACTATATTTTTGTGTCTATCTTATAAAAATTGAAATGCATATATTTGCATATTTTGATAAATAAAATGCATAATTTACAATTTTTTATTGCATACAAATCTTAGCCCTGGTTATAACCTGAACCATATAGTTACACTATTATTATACTAATAGTTGTATATAACACAACTATAATGTTGTACTATAATACTTAATATTAACTATAATAGTTGTATATAATATATATGTATAGTTGTATATAACATTGGATTTTGTGGATGAAATTGTATTTTATTAATAATCATAATATCATTTTAAAATTAACAAATTATTTATTAACAAATATTAATAAAATAAAATTTTAATTTTAAGTTAATTTTATATAGAATGCCCTCATATACTTTAAATTGTTATATTTCCAATTCCAAGTGTGTGAAAACCTCTTCTTTTTATAAAAACTATTATTGTGGTATTCTTCTAATTATATAAAAAGACCAAAAACAAGAACACATTTATATACTCAGATATGCATATTTAGTTAATACTTTACACTTTTGCATTCCCTTTTTACTTATTTTCCAATTCAAGTACCAATATTAACATGCATTTTTGTATGGTGATTTTTCTTATATTTTAATTGTGAGTAAATATGTATAAAACATTACAATTTAAAAGCGATTGCATAACCTAACTAAAATTAAAATATTGAAAAAAACCAAGAAAGTTAAGTAAATCATATTTAATTCCGTACGTTTGTTGCGCTGATAAAATTATATTATATTTATTAATCGTAAATAAGTCACTATCAGCTGTATCACTAATTCTAAAATGTAATATAAATATACTTATACACTTTTATGAGCATATTGTGTTTTTTTTTTTACAAAGTATTAATTTCTCATTCAGTGTCATCCCTAATAAATGGTCTCTTGAAATGGCTTAACCCACAGTTCCCTGACTCTAGATCTGCCCCAGAGTACAACGCTGCATTTGAAATCATGTGGAATCTTGTATATATATATATGAAAATTGCGGAATCCAAGGCTCCCAATACAAATATTTTAAAGCCCACCAGGTGGTGTCTTGCATTTTTTTGTAAATACTCAAAGGAGAGGGGCCCACTAACTTGCAAAAGTTGTGGCACTGCATATAACACAGTTATTACATGAAATAAATTAAATACATTAATATACAATAAAGTACACAATAAGTCAACAGATTATTAGGGGTAGCCAAAGAGTCAATTATGTATGACTTGAAAGTCTATTTTTCATTAGTAAAAATATGTATTTTTAATTTTTATATTTATCGGATTTGTACTAGTCAATAAGTATTATTTTAATTGTTACCTATGCTAATTATTATTTCTGTGGTAGATTTTTTTAGTTGATCATTAACTAAAAATAATTGATCATATCTGATACATATAAATAAATAAAAAACAAAACAAAGATACAAAATTATTTGAGCAAATATAATAAATTTGTATTGCAAGTGGAACATTTTTTTCATTAAAATAAACAATTAAAATTAAACTATAGATACAAACAAAATACAAAATGTATTGAAATTTTATTTGATAAATCAAACATTTTATACTATAAAAAATAACACGAATAATGACTAATTTAAAAAATTAAAAATATAATTTATATTACTTCTATGCATTATCACAATAGTATTATTAGTAAACATTGAAAATTATTTTAAAAGTACAAAAAAAAAAAAAATAATTTTAAAAAATAATAATATCTAAACACAATATTAAAAATAATTAAGTTAGTTAGTAATTTTGACTAAATATAATTAATTCTAAGTCATATAAAATATGTATTACACACTTAAAATTAGCACTCGAAAATTATAAGTTTTAGGAAGGTAATATTATTTCAAAATATAAATGCAAAACAATATTAAAATCATTTATTTCAAATTAAATTAAGCATAAAAATATTTATGTACTAAAAATAATACAACAGAGTATATACAGTTGTACTGTTTTTTTTTTTGTACTTTAAATTGCTTAAGAAAGAAAATAATTAGAAATTATCTTAGAAAATTAAATTTGTAACCTTTTCATTTAATTAATTATGCATATTTAATTAATTACACATCAATGACATTAATGAAAATCAAAAATTTCTTTGATCAGTCTACAATTAAAATCACAGATATTTTTAATATTCCCTAATTGACATATAATGTAACAATTATTATTTTTATACATAATAGTTTACTAAAAATCTTTATTAAGTAAATTTATAATTATGGATATTATAGAAAATAATTAGCATTGTAAGTTAATTAAAAAACATAATTTAATCAAAATAATATGAAAACTGTAATAATATAATTGGAATAAAATAATTTTTTTTAAAACACTGAAAATTGTTTCATGAGTACTTTTTGTATAATTCATCAAGAACCATATTAAAAAATTTCATAAAATTATAATTAGGAAATTTCAAAAAAATAAAATGAAAATTTGAACAATTATTGTCTATGTAAAATAACAGTAAATGAAATGTTTCAAAGTTAAAATTTCAAACCAATAATTAGAAAAAAAATTAAACACTCAAAAAGTTTATCAAAAAATGTATGAACAACCTTTAAAGTTAACAAATTAACTTACCATTTAGCATCATATTGGTAACATAAATGGTAACAAACTTTAAAATATAACTATTTCAAGATATTATGTTATATATTTTACACAGCCAACGACAATTTGACACTTACTTATGAAATCCAATGCATATATTTCATTATATAATTTAACATTTTGTAAAAAATATTTGGTGTATGTCATATGAGTAAGTCATATAAATTAAAACAATTTAAGAATGAATATTATTAGATAAATTCAATACAACCAACTGCCCGGCAGTGTTAACTGAAATATATGTATTCAGAGTAGAATCCACAGAAAATGTATCAGCTGTTAACCTTATACTGGCTATATTTTTACCAGATTCTACATCAAATGTAATTATTTGATTGTCTTCTTTTATTGCTAAGCGTGTGTCATCTGATGACCATTTTAATGATTGTATATTATTTATACAGGAATCAGTTATAAAATGCTTAGTAGTTTTTAATATTTGGTCAATCAACTAATAAAAAAAAATTACTGTTAAATAATTGACTAGTATATGTAAATAAACATTAAATAATTACTTACAACAATATATTTTTGCCCACCAACAACAATTAGGTTTTTGTCATTAGAAATACTAATGGATGTCATTTCACTTTCTTTGAAAGGTAATTGATACTGATCAAGCAGATTCAATGTATAATCCGACATTAGTTTAAATATATTTAAGGTATTGCCATTATTATTGACAGCTAATTTTGTATGATCAAGCATTAAACTTCCATTTATTTTAATACAATTCACTTCAAGTTTCATATTAACTTTTGCATAATTATCAATTATCTGTTAATATAAACGTTTAAAATGTGTATAAATATCAAATGGAATAATGACTATGGTTATACAAGTTAAATAATTCAAAACATAAATAAACAGTAATAATTATAAAAACATAAAAATAGTTTACCAGCATTTCATGAACGTTGTATAATAAAATAATTTTATCATGGAACACATAACAATCAATAACATTTTGGACATTTAATAAAAATTTTTCTTCATTAATCCAAATCTAAAACCACCAAAGTACAAATTAAACTTTTTATTAAATTTCTAGAAAATTAAGATTTACCTGTACAGTTTGGTTAAATGGTTCATTTTCTTTTATATCAACATTGAGTAATAATACTATGATTAATTGACCATGATCACAACAAGCAAAAATTTGGTCCACTTTTTCATTAGTGTTGAATAAAAATGTAGAAGCTTGATGTTTCAACATATGAACAGATAAATCTTCACATGCTACAATTATCATTGTTTGATCAAATTTTGGTTCTGAATTTATAATTGACAAAGCTGTAACTCTTTTATCAATTATCGACCAATGATTTAAGCCTTCAAATAATACCTGAATACATACAATAATAACTAAAAAACCTTCTAAAATAATAAAATAATGGTATAGTCATAGTCATAGTTCATGGCATAGTCAGAACGGACTGCTGCACATGGTATTAGCAGAGAACCCAGTAAGAAAGAGACCTCTTAGACGCCCAAGTTTAAGATGGGAAGATATAGTAAAGAGATGTAGAATCGTTGAACGGTGGCCCAGACTGGTGAACAAAAGCAACGAACAGAGAGACCTGGAGGATTGGATGTTTGACGGGTTGGTCCTAGAGGTCGGTCATACTCAAGAAGAAGAAAATAAATAATTAGAGATTGGCATAAATTGCAAAGATCTGAATTTACCAATGTATCTAGATTTATTTAATAATAATTTTTAATTTCTATGCATATAAGTGATTTTAGTATATTTATTATGACTTCAACAGTTTTTAAAATTTATTAAGTTACCAAAACAACAAATCATTAAATTGTCATACCTCTTACTGAATACACAGTTAACTTATATTTACTGCATAACCTTAATTAAATTTAAGTGAATAAAAAATGATTAATTGAACAGCAAAATTAAATAATCCAGATATGCTCACCACTATATATAATATTTATCAACATGTATTGAAATAATTTATAACTTCATATTACATGATTTTGGAGGTTACACTTTTCATATAAATATAGAATTATATCATTAGCATAAAAAAGTTATGTACTATACTATATGTAATAAGTATAATAGTAAAATAACCTAATTATATTTTTTTAAACTTTCATAGGTTCTAAATTAAACACTATATTCTGTTAAATAGATGAAAAATGGATTTTTAATAATTAATAACTGTTGAATAAAAAAAAGTCACTATAAAACTTATACATTTATAACTTATCACAGTTAAGTAACACAATGTATAATTAAAAACATTTAAACTTAAACTAAAATAATGTACCATCATGTGCATACAATTTTAATTTCTGAAGATAGTATACAATAAAATAATTTTTTCTCAGTTAATTAATAAATTACCTTTAAAGTCCCACATTTAGTAATGGTCGCTATTAATATAGAACCATTATCCAGCCACGCTGCATCAAAATTTTGTTTAAATTTATAACAGTACACATTTTGTTCTTCAGTAAATGATTTATAATTTTGAAGAGATATAATTTCATTTTTGCATAAATTTTTAAAATCACTATTATTAGAATGATGTTTAGAATCAATTTTGTGAGAACAAGTATATTTTGTTATATCATTTAAGCACCACAATCTAATAGATTTGTCTTCGGCTGCACAAAGCAACCAATTACTTTGATCAGTATTAGACCAAAACCAGTCTAAATTTAATATGCCCCTGTAATATGAAAATTAAAATTAGCACAAACTAAAAAATTATGAAATATAACTAATACTTACTGAACAGGGTCGTTTAAATCAAGAAAATTATACCCAGTCCATAAATCACAAATTTGTATTGTACAATTATTTAAACTTAATGCTATAAAACGAGTATTATTTGTTTTGTTCATATGCTCCTCAGAAATAGAAAACAATTTGAATCGTTCATAACCTATTGGTTTTGGGTAATCCATAATGCGTACAGATTTATCCCAATCAAACTTATAACAAGCCACATTTTCTTGAGTCAAAATTAGTAAATTGTAATCTCCTAAAAAAATATTCTAAAATGTGCATGATACACTTAAAATATTAAATTATATATACCTTCTGTACTAGGTGAAGAAAAAAATGATAACAATTTTTCTTTTAAGTATAATAATCCAGTACAATGATCAAATGGCCATTGGCACCTATAAATAACACTTCCTGTTTCTGACTGTGTTGAGAAGAGTATACAATCAGATGTTGTGGTTTTCATAAAATAACATTTATAAATTATACTTGTCTGGTTGATAGTTTTGAGGACTGTTCCATTATCCAACTTCCATATCTATTTTTTATAAATATTTTATTAATATTGAATTATATAAAATGGTTTGGTAAAAGTATTTAAAAATATAATATAAAATCACATATTGATTATTTATTAGATAAAACTGTGATTTTAATAAGTTATTTCATGGAAAAAAAATGTCAAAACGTTTAATTAAACTAAAAATATAGACCTACTCAAGTCATCAACATAATTTGATAAATAATACCTAACTTTTACAACTTTGGTTATTAATTTTTGATTATTGTTAAAAATATTAAGTTGGTTGTCTTTTACTAAAGAAAATGCAAATAATATTTTATTAATATAAAGTATTATTAGTTAAAACAGTGTTGATAATTCATTATACAAATGAAATATGTAAAATAATATTTAATCATTATTCATAATAAATAACTATAGTAAAGCATTGATTATTCGCACTAATTAGGAACTATAGGATGCGAATAATCAAATAAAAATTAAATTGAACACTAATTTACTGTATGTATAACATATAAGTAAATGATAAAATAAGTATATGAACATTTTACGTTAGACACTGAATCTTTTTCAATTTTTTCTATTATTTTGATTATTGTTTTAATGTTTAATACATATTTAAACCAACTAATTATATATATATATATAAATCTATATTAAAGTGAGCTATAATAGATAATAAAATAACTTTGCATTTCATATTACATACAAGAAAAAACGATCATAATGAATAATAAAACTTGATTAAATTAAACTAATAATACATTTATATAAACATGTTGTAGTGCAGATAATTATGCTTCACTTAATTAAGAGAATCAGTAACTTTTACTAATTTTTAATATGTAATAAGACAAACAGGTCTATTTGATTAAAAAATATTAAATATTTTTATTTTTTTTTGCAGGTACTGGCAATTTTGGAAACTGGAACCAATTTTACTTTTATAAATTAATAAATAATTATTACAAATAATAATAAAATATTGTATGAATAAAGTTTTAAAAAAATGTGATTAAAGCATGGATAATTAAAAATGTTACTAATTTTATAATAGTGCTAAATTTCACTAATTGAAGAACTAATTAAAATCGTTAATTTTATATATTCAGATGAAATTAATTGAATACTGAAAAATTACTAATTATAAATTGACATGCTATATAAATATACTTTTAAATAAATAAACTTTTGTGACAAAGACAAAAAAACAAATTAATATGAAAGTATTCGAAAATCAAGAAAATTAAAATTCTGAATGCTAATATTTACAATATTATTATTTTTTATAATAAAAAACATATTATATTTGTTGGATATAATTTAATATTGTATAAAGAATCATCATATTGTGCAACAACAACATCGTTGCTATTAATAATGTGCAAAATCACGCCATATATTTATTAGCAAATCAGATATTGTTAAACAGTGGCGTGAGACTTAGGTCAATAGGTAACTTGTATATAAGGCCGACTTTTAGCATACTGTCTGGACTACATTATAATATTACTTATGTGTAAGTCATGTGTTTAGTAAATATTACTTATTACTAAAAACAGTATAGTCATTTTTGTCCAGATCGATCTACAAACATAATCCTAAACTTAACAATATTTACATTTAAAGAATAAAAAAATTTGTTTTATTTATTTATAAAAGGAGCAATAAAATTTGTTTTTGTTTTTTGGGACGAGTAACTCAAAAAATTTGGGAACTAGACATAGACTATATCATTGCGATCAAGCAATAACTGACTAAATTTATTATTTTTATAGTTTTCAATGATATCAATATAAATTTAAAATATACTGTGAATTATTATTAATACATATCATCACAATTCAAATAATATCAAGTTTAATTAAAATTAGTATCAATCGTATTTTTCAAAGTATATTTAAAATTAAATTTTATATTGCTGAAAACTATAAAAAAATATAAAACACTTATACATTTTTGCATGATGTCGATAATTTACACTTTTTAAAACATTTGAATAATATCACCTTTAAAGTTTTATCAGTAGAGGATGATACAACTAATTTATCATCTGAAGAAAATTGTGCAAATATTACTGGTCCTGAATGATGATCTAATATAACACAATCAGTAATGTCAGTTGATTTTTTATAATTTACATTAAACACATTTTGCCAATGTTCTTGTCTAGTCTCTGGCGATGGAGTACGTGTTTCAGGATCTTAAAATACAATTAAAAATATAAGTTAACAATTGTTCAGTAAGAAATTAATTTAAATATATTATACTATCAGATCCAGGAAAACTATTTATGCTCCATATACGTATAGTTGAATCATCAGATGTTGACAGAAAAAAATTTTTTTGCTTATTTTTGGCCAAATGAGTAACTCTGGCAGTGTGGCCATAATAAGTGTATAAACATTTATGAGCTATTATGTTCCATGCCTATGATAATTTAATAAAAAAATAAATAATGATTATATAATATATATACAATATATACTAAATAACAATAACATGAATGTATCTAATTACATAAGATCACTTATGTTAACTCTTTTAACAGTTTTTTTTTATAACAATATTGTAATTTAATGGCTGAGTTCGCACTTTTTTATTCATTCGAAGTGTATGATGAAGATATGACAATTTTACATTAAAATTGATTCCGTAAGAGTACATAGTGACTAAAGCACTTTTGGATTAAATAGCAAAAATCAATGACTTGTACTAAAATCTCTTTAAATTATTTTTAAACCTTAAAAGTACTAAAAATTAATATAATTAATATTGAAAAATTTAAATTAAATTTCTCAAAATACCATGTGGTTTTATTTAGGCCAACAACTTTCAAATATATGAAAAATATTTTATAGTTTTGTTATATCATGTATACACTAATAATGTAATATCAATAAATTTACTTACTTTAATATGTCCATTATTAGTTGCAATTATAACCTCATCATATCTATTTCCAAAAATTACAGTTTCAATAACATCTCTAACAATAGATATATGTGGTTTTGGAAGACAACTTAAAGATGGCCGAATTCTAAAAAAAATGGGTTTTTAATATAATTTTTTTAAGTATAATAAACATAATCACGGGTTTCCCCAGGGGGAGCAAGATGGGGCACTTTCCCCTCTAGAATTTTAAATTTGTTTTTCAAAGTATTATCTGTAACGAGCCAATTTAGTAAAGATAGATTACTTTAATATAACATGTATTTTACACATAGAAAACTCTTTAATAATGATTGGATTATTTTATCTTATCATATATCTTATATTTGAGGAAAATGAATAATGTATAAAAAAAATTTAAGTGTAAAATGTATAAAAAAATCTTCATTTATTTTTTAATTTCATTTTGCCCTTCTCTAAAAAAATTTCTTGGGACGGAAACATATGCATAATATATATATTATTTTAATTAAATTTAAATTTACTTATAGTAAAAATATGGTTTTCCACTAGATTTTGCTATTTTATATGATGTTTTATATACAAATGAACTTGTAGGTTCTTGGAGACCTAATTGAATAATATCACACTTGGTTTGGTACAAATAGGGTCCAATAGATATTATAAAACATTCAATTTCTTTAATATATTCTTCATGGGTATTCTAAAAATATTTTTGTATACATAAATCATAAATAAATCAAATGTTCAAAAATATTGTATTTAAATTATTGTAATAAAATGTATAAACTATTTTATAATACTTACATGAACTACGATATATTTTCTATATTTTTTAAAATCTGTTAACAAATCTGCAGGACCAGTTACACTTATTTTTGCTTCTAAAAATTTTAAATTAAAAAACCACTTGGGGAATTCTTCTAGCAGATCAGCATTTTTCAGATGATATCCGAAATATAAAAATATATAATTATCGTTTTTTGGAAGCTGAACAAAATTTCCATTGCAAGTAGCACTATAACGTTCAATAAGTTTTCTGTGCAGCATCTAAAAGTATTTAATAAAAAAAATTATATAGATATGTATTTCATAACTATATAAAGTTATACCTTAGAATCATGACTGCTTATACTTTTTTTTAAATTGCACAAGAGTAAATCATGGATTGAATAAACATAACTATTTAAAGGCTGATTCCAAGCTCTAACTACTAAGCTTTTACGCATTAATTCCAGCATAATATCTTCAACTTGTATTTTCTTTAAATTCCACAGTACAGATAACACCTAAGATATTAAAATTTTATTTTATATACACTTTTATTTTAAAACCAACATCTATTTTAAATGATAAATTTAATGAATGTTACATTATATTACTTCTGGTTTAATATTTAAATCATCTACAAATAATGAAAAATCTCGGTAATTATTTTGCAAATCTTTTGGTAAACTTTGTATACACATTTCTATTGCTTTTTCTAAACTCTTAAACTGCTTGTGACTTGGTGGAGTATATCTACAAAATAATAATATTAATTATAAGTATAATATTTTAGTAACAATATTTCCTAAATAAAAAGCTCTCAATTTCTAATTATAAATTTCAAAATAATATATATATATATATATATATATATATATATATAATCTTGAATATTCTATTGCCCAAACCTAACCTAAGATTAGACAAAAACATCTAAAATTTTTGAGACTCTATTAAACAACTAAATACATTATTTTAATGACAAATTCATTTAACTTTTTTTGACATTAGAAAAGATAATTATAATAACATAATTTAAGTATTAATAAAAATATTGATATTTACTTAAAAGGATAACTAGTTCTATCAGACAACTCTTCCAAATAAAATGTCCATCTATCCATATTATTAATAGTTTCTTCTTTGTGTGCTTCAAGCTGTGCACCAATGAGCGAAATAGTTAATGGAAATCCTAAAAAATATAACATATTAAATGAAAATAATGATACTCTTTAAAACAATTGAATTACCTTTACATATATTATGAAGTTTTAATGCATGTGATGGTAAAGATTTAAAATCAACACTTAGGCATTTTGAGAACAAATCTAAAGTCTCATTTTCTTCAAATCCTTCATTTACTTTAACATATTTTACTCGTGTATCTATTATGTCATCCATAATACTTTTATCGTGTGTTGTTATTAATATTTTACATTCAATGTCTAAATATTTAACAATTTGATTACTACATACATCATCCAAAATCAATAAACCACCTGTTGAATATTTTTGTTTCCATCTAAATAAATAAAATAATAAAAATATGAAATTATTTGATAGTTTTTATGTAATTACTAATCAAATACAATAATTTGGGTTGTAAAACTTTTACTTTTGATTTACTAGCTAAAGCACAGTATTTCCTAGACTTGATAACGTAAACACAATACTAAGGGGGAAGGGGGTGCAAGCAATTACTATGGAGTACATAATTTATTATTATCAATAAAAAAATAAAAAAACTAATAGTCAAATAGAAGTCATTATATATATATCAATTATTTGCAAAGTATGTAGAAAAAAATATAAATTTTTTTAATTTATGGAGGGCATAACATTTTTAAAAACCTACAAGGTAGGCATAGAATAAAAAGATTGTGAACCACTTACCTTAGAGAATATACAAAAAATTATATTATCAATAAACGAAGAAATTGTATACAATTTTTTTCAAAATTAATGATTAAATAGTGATATAATTTACTTACTACTAAAATTAGTATATTAAAATAGACATTATTTATGAAATTGATGATTATAAAACAAATATATTTTAAATTATGTAAATTTTAAACTATTAGTCTACATTTAAATATGCTACAAATATAAAAAATAAAATTTATACAAAAAATAATATACATACAATTCTTGAAGTGTTTTTCTAGTGGCTTTAAAATCTGTATTTAAAGGAGGCATAATATGCTGCTTATGGTAATTTAATCTATTTAATAACTCAGTTTGAACACATCCAATATCAGAGGAATTTTCTCTTCCAACATTCAGCCAATGCACAGATCCCTAAAGTAAAATATATGTTCTTATAGAAGTTTATACTTATATTTAGCGAAAAATAATAAGCTTATATTATTAATTATAAAAAAAAAAAAATGAAAGAACTATTTTTTTTATAAATCAACTAGAGATCAGAACAAAATTAATTTATACATATATAAAACATGGTAGATAAATTACATATCGATTCATATGAAAAATTTATTTAGCATTTTATTACAAATTTTGTATGATAGATGATATAATATTATAAGTTTATACAATTCTATAAATTATGAATAAGTTTTCATGCATTATTAAAATATTATTTTCTTTTTCAGTAATACAAATTTGACAATAAAATCTACAGTAAAAAATAATATTATTTTTCCTTAAGTTCTTTTCATTTTGATTCCATATTCTTTTTGAAGAAAGATTTAATCTATCCAAAAAAAAAAATATTAATAAAATAAATAAATTGCATCTAAAACTATCAAGTAGTTTAATTACTAGATTCATTGAAAAAAATTAATTTTAAAATAAATGTAATAAAATCACAAAATAAATTATTATTTAATTTAAAAAATATAACAAGAAATTATATGATGGATTTTCAGTATGATGTATTAATGGCTATAGGATAAAATAAAATAAATAAATAAAAAATATGTTGATTTTTTTCAATTCATCTCGCAATATTAGTTGTTAGTTTAAACTCAAAGCATTAACTCAAATTATTGTTCTTGTTTTATATTTATAAATTAAAGTTATGATTAGGGTTGTTTTATTATTCACTGTGTAATATTATATATCATTTAATTAGATAAATATTATATTGTATTCAATAAGAACATCAACTATATAAATAACTGCTACTATACAGTGCACATACTACACGAGAAATTAAATTTAATGTTCATCAATAAAGATTACTATTATTACAAATACCTGAAAATATTGCATTGTAATAAGAGGATCATTTAATACTTCAATGACTAAACTAGATTTTCCACAACCAGTCATACCATTCACAACAACAAAATTACCGGCTTCTAACTTTTTTAAAAGATCTTTTAATGTTTTTACCTAAAAAAAAATGTATTAACGTAAAATTTAACATAACTCACAATAATATAATACTTATTTTGAAACATACATGTTTAGTTCGTGATACATGTCTTGAAGACAATTGAGGTACTTCACCAAAAGTTAAAGCCTGATGAATTTTAGTTGGAAACATGTCATTATATTCATTTTTTATGGAACTTAGTATTGGATCGGCTATCCAAGAATAATATGTTGACAAATAATTTAAAAATTGATTAAAACCATTAAACCCTTTATTCGGCAACAGTTCAAGCAATGAATGAGCTTCTTTTTCTCGGTCATTCTATAACACATTATCAACATTCATTTTCTAACAATATTATCAATATAAGACATATATTAATATGTTTTTACCTGAGATTTAATATATTGATAATCTTTTTCTGTTAAAACCTGCTTTTCAAAAAGAGCCCAGATCACATCTCCTTGAATGTCTTGAACTATTTCATCATGATGAATTTTTAATATGGCTTGTGTAACACGTTGATTATCGATTTCCATTATTCCCAGTTGATTTAATTTGGTATATGAACCAGTTAAAATAATGGTTTTTAAGCAATTGGTAATTACATTAAACAACAAATGGTTAAATACAAAATTTACATTATTATGAGGTAATTATTTAAGTACACGAATAGTGCAGTGTAAAATATAGGGAAAAATATTATCTGCAAACTATGATAGATAACAGCGATTAAGTTTTTTTAGTTGGTCACGGATTGTTTTGTTTTAGCTATCAAAATGGTTTTGTGAACATAGATGAATGAACGTTAACCGACTAAAAAATTAAAATTGTGACTATCACCACAAAATTAGAGAAAAGAGATAATGATAAGGAAATGAAATTCGTTAATGAAATCAGTCTGTGAATAGCCACGATAAAACGGCCGCAAAATGTGCTTCGCTCACATTGGTACTATTAGTTTAGGGAATAATAATGTAAATATGGTTTTCTACACAAAATAATTGTTATGACTAGGGTCCGGATTTTTATGCATTTACATATTTGTAATGAGTGTATGCAGTTCAACGGAAGTAAGAAATGTGAACGATTTGTGTAGCAGAGAATCTATAGAAAAAAGTTTATTTTGCATATAAATGCATATTTTAAGGTTGAGAGCATATTTGAAGAATTCGGCATAATAAAGCATATTTTGGTACATAATAGTTATTTTATTTATATTTCACTATAGAAACTAGATTTATGAGTTTATGAAGTATTGTGGGGAAATATTTAATTTGTATTAAAACCATATCTTGCTTATCGAAACACATCGATCGACAACAATGAAGACCAGTTATATATAAATTTCCTTCATACAATTATATTTTTAGCATGATTATTATTATTATTATTATCGTGATTTTAAGTCTTATATTGGATAAACACGCTGCATCGTAGCTCTTGTTGTTTTACATTTAGTTGGTATTTAATCGTCGCGCGTCGTGCTGTAGTCGCCAGTCGGTAATCGCCTATAAATATAATTTCGTAATCCGCATTCCGTATACAAACAAATTTCTTTAATAATTTTTTTTACGCTCGTAAATTTTAAAATGCCGAAAAGTCGTAGTAATATTCAAATTTTAATAAAACAATGGATTGCATTGTATAATAAAACAGACCACACAATTTTTACTACGGACGGTTCAGTAGTGTTTTGTCAATTGTGTGACAAAAAAATCGTTTGCACCAAAAAATTTCAAATACAACAACACGTTGATACTGCTTTGCATAAAAGTGCTTTAAATCGTAAAGCAAATGATAATAAACAACAATTTCTTGTATTGGACGCAAAACCTAAATCTGGTAACATTTTTAACGAGGATTTTTGTTCAGCTTTGATAGTCGCTAATATACCATGGAATAAACTTCAAATTCCCGAATTCAAGAATTTTTTGGAAAAGTACACAGGTAAGCATATTCCCGATGAAAGTATACTTAGAAAAAATTATCTTGGTCCATGTTACAATAATGTTATAAATGCAATCCGAGAAATTATTGGAAATTCAGATATTTGGATTGCTGTTGACGAAACAACTGATACAAACGGCCGTTATATAGCAAATTTATTAGTTGGCGTTTTAGAATGTGATACACCAAGTCAACCCTATCTATTAGCATGTAAAGAACTGCCAAAAACAAATCACTCTACCGTATCTCGTTTTATTAACGATAGTTTAAAAAATATTATGGCCCGCTGGGGGAAATGACGAAAACCTAAGATTGTTTTTATCAGATGCAGCGCCATATATGGTTAAAACTGGAGATGCATTAAAAGTGTTTTACCCAAATATCATCCATGTAACATGCGTAGCACATATGTTAAACAGAGTAGCAGAAAAGGTAAGAGAGTTATTCCCCGATGTAAATAAATTAATTAACAATGTAAAAAAATCTTTTTTAAAGTCACCTTCTCGTATTCAACTATATAAAGAAATGCTACCTGGTTTACCATTGCCCCCGGAACCAGTTATTACAAGATGGGGGACATGGATAGAGGCAGTTATATTTAATGCAAATAACTATGAAGATATTAAAAGTGTAATAGAAAAACTAGATAATGATTCTTCAGCAAGTGTAGATAATTGTAAAAAAATGTTCAATTTGACTACAGTGAAAAATGATTTAACATTTATAAAAATTAACTTTTCTGGACTTATTCGGGCAATCACAAACTTAGAAGATACTAAATTGACATTACTACAATCGTTAGAGATTACGAAAAATATAATTTCCGAACTATCAAATATACAAGGTGACAAAGGTTCTATCATAAAAAATAAAATACCTCAGTTATATCAAAAAAATAATGGATTTCAAGTACTAGAACAAATCGGACTAGTTATATCAGGTAACAATGAAATACAGATTCCAGAAAATTTCAATCCTTGCTCTGTGGCAAATATGAAATATGCACCGTTGACGTCAGTAGATGTGGAAAGATCCTTCAGTCTATATAAACATATATTAAGTGATAGAAGAATAAATATGACACCTGAACATATGGAAGAGTATATTATTGTTAACTCTTTTTATAAAAAGTAAATATCGATTTATATCTATTAGGTAATTAAAATGTTTTTATTTGTTTAAATTGTTTTTTTTATATATATAAATTGTCTTCATTGGTATAAAAGAATTAAATACATTTTTTTTATTATTATTTTTAACTAAAGTGCACTTTATTAATTTAATGTAATTTTTAAACATTTTTTATCTTTAATTAATGTTGTAAGTTGATGTCGCAGTGCCGGTAATAAAAAAATTAAGTTTGTTTGATTATGTTGTATTAATTATTATTTATTAATATATAAAGAAAAAATTAAAAAAAAAAAATTATAAATGCATATATTTTGGGTAAGAGCATATTTT